TTCTTATTTAAAGCGAAAACAACCTTGATTCCATTCTGTAAAATATGGATACCAAGTTAATTATCACTAACCAACATTATGTGCAGATTTGATACGCTCAAAACACCACTCTGTGATAAATCTTTATTCGTTTGGTTGGACCCCTAGAAATTGTTTAGTGGAGTTATGCAAATGAATAAAAGGTTTTGGAAGAGGTAGAGCAAAGCAGATTTATTTATAAATGTGCCTTACCTAACACACAAATAAATTCTAATAGTAGATACCTACTAGGAATATAATTTTCCAAGGCAGTTCTTAAAACTCTAAAAGTTAGGTATACTTTTCTGATTTGTTTTTGTGGATGATACCGTTTATATGCACAAATGTAAGTATATTGCCGTGACGACGGATGTATTTCATGGAGAAAAAAACTTTGCTAAACAATATTGCCATACTTTGTGTTAATTAGAAAAATCGGAACGGAAAAAAATGTAAAACAGGAATGTAAAACAAGAAAAGACTATCAGAATACTGCTTTGATATTTTATAACTTTGACAACTTTAATACATAATAATTCTTTTCATAGGTACCTACTTAAACTGTGTAAAGTTTATAATGTGTAATTAAACCATATGTAGTTAATTACAAAAATTTAAATTGAATTCTAAATCAACACGGTATAAACTATTAACTTACGAGAAAAATGACATCACAAATCTTTACGGATTTTTTAGGACTTCAAATATTAAATTATTCAGACGAAGAGGCTGGCTGGGAGCATGTTACTCGTATCAGTTATATATCACCCACACTAGCTATTTACATGTGTTGAACATTCTTAAATATAGGGTATATCTTAAGTACAATTGAATAGGCTTATGTGCTAAGGAAATATGCCTGAAAAAAGTTTACAGCACTGTAGTCCTTTTTCATACATATTTACATTATAACAACTACAATAGATCTTTACACAATTGTTCATACATTATTAGGAGTAAAGATGAAATAGCGAAATTGAGTAGATAGTAAAATACATTACGATTATGTTTAAAAAAATTCTTCAAGTAGGTAGTTAATTTCTTACAATTATGCGAATGCCTAAAATGAACTTAATTCACAGATTACCTTATAGCCGGTTTTTGTTAAGTATAACAATATTTACACCATCCGACATAAGGGATAGTTTTTATAAAACAGTTTGACGGTTCACGCAGAAAATTGTTATATTTAATGTAAGCAATCAAATATACTAACTGTATTACACGATATATATAATAAATTTATGAATACGTACGGGTACTAATGCGATCACGTAGTAGTAATTAATAGTTACTTTGCATTGCCTGACTTTTCTACCAGATTGCGTTGGCCATGGTTAAGCTATAAATTCTGTAAGTTGTAAGTCTGTAAGTTAAGCTATAAAGTAGGTGCGAGTATGTATGTACGACACGCTTTCATAAATAATACATGTTTTTTATACAATACATGTATTTCAGTGAATAATTGACTTTATAGCAATTTATACATTTCTTCACTACACAATATAAATGGTATATGTATAATAGAAACTAGGGTATGGCAGAAATTTATATTTTTCTTGACTATCATTAAAACACACTTTTAATGTTAGACATTCATTTATAATAGCAAAATTGGTATCGGTTTCCGTAGGTAGATAATCTGTGCGATAAACACTGATAACTATTGCAGGACATAGTAAGGCCTTATCTAATCATATAAAGTAACTGTTACATTCTGATTTGTGCTAGGTAAACCTACACTCCGATGTATAACAGGCTAAAGAATGTAAATGCTGCTTATAAATCTAACATCGATAGGGTCCGATATATATTATGTAGGTGTATATGTGTTTATGACGATCAATTGGGTACCTCAGGTTTTGTTATTCCTGCTAAATTTCAGTAGTTGGAGTAGTGGGAGTACTTTAAAAGGCCATATTTATGCTTTTAACAAACGAAATAGCAGATACCTACGTTAGTAATGGATAGTTACTGATGAGATTAATAAATATTTAGATAGGTTTCGAATCAATGTTAGTTCATAAAACCATTAAACTCATTTGAACACTGTCGTCACTGATGTAGATAGGTTATTTTTTTTCGTTCAAAAAATAAAAGGTCTATCAGAATAACAGACCATCTAAATTTTGTATTAAAATATGGGAAGATATGATACTCTATATAATACTCAGAAACTTACAAGTAGGTAAATAATGTTAAATATTCCTAAATATGGATATATTTTTAGTTTATTTATATCTAAATATTACTTATATCATGCATTGAGAGGTATTTAGGTACGTCCGAGTTTTGTCTGTACTGATAACGCATTTTTTTTCCATATGCAGAATTAGCCAAAACACTTGAATATGAAAAAAAAAGATTATCAAATAGTTATTATATATGTACAAAAAAAACTTTAAAATACTTGAACTATAGCTATTATATAATATAATCAAGAGGATATATGTAATATTCTTCATTTTAGCATACAAATAGTCATATTTGTATGCTAAGATTGATTAAATTGCTACTTTACATATCGATGACACTTATTTCCCACATTTCAAATAGTAGAGATAGGCGATGTGTGTATGTATGACACTCTCGGTTTAAAGGTTTAAAGTGGACTGCTGGAAAGGTGAATTTCGACATCTCTATGACATTTTCACAGGCGACTTAGCTTTTTACTTATACAACATTTGCCAAAACTTATTCGTTACTTTAACAATTAACTTATATTGATCCCACTTGTTTTATTAATGTCATGTAAATTATACATTCATAAGCATAAATAAATGATATTATTTTAATGAATTTCAAAGTAGACATAAAAATGATTTCTTTGTTTACAATAGAGACGAACTGAATGTTCATGACATTCTCTGCAAATCAGCCTTCGGGCGGTGCAAATGAAATAGTAATGTAATTAAATTATGTAAAAGATAAAACCGCCTAATGAAAATAACCGATTCTTGAAAAGTGGTTACAGTAAAGTAAACAACGCTTTCATGATTTTTTGTGGTGTATAGGGCAACCGAACAGACTGGTCAGCTGATGGTCAGTGCCTACTAACCTAACTCACTGAAAAGTAACGACAGCATTTCTTAACACCGGTCGAGCCAGGCCGGGTGTGCCGAAGGAGGGCTCTCCCACGACAAACAGTCATAATATGTGATTTGGTCGTAGACAATGTAGAAATGACAATAAATCAAAAACTTAAGCAAAGACAAAAAAAATACTTTTTATCAAAGTAGGCTTTGATGAAGTGTTTTTTTATCCAGGTCTTTCGCGAGTCTGGCGCTAGCGTAATCATAAACTGTGATTGTATGATTATATGAGTGGTATGATTATATGATTTATAAAAGATATGACTTATAACAGGTGATTGTGATATTATTTTATCCCTAGTTCGGAATCATTCTATGTACTTTTTAAGTCACCTACTAATAGTTGTCGACTCGTTAAACTGTAAAAGAAATGAAAACTATGAGAAAGATGACGCGGATCCTGTAGAAAAAGTAATTATTATTTAAGTATAATAATGTGCTGGCGGTTTTATGTTTCTGTTCATTTAGGTTCTTATATTTTATAAAAATCTTGTTTTAACATGCACATTGATCATATTTTGAACGTATCGCTAAATATTCAAACAACCAAGCACTTTGGTATAGACCTATAATTTGTACAATATATGTATCTATTACCTATCTATAATATTATAGCTTTTAAGATATCTTATTAACTATATTTACATGTACCTACTTCTAGAGAAAATGATATGTTATTTTGGCGACTTTAAAATGTCTAGGCACATTAATGGTTTTAAAAAGCGCGTGTTTATGTTTAGATTCTTGAGATATGAAATAAATTTGTCTTATCAAATAAATTAATTGAACAACTCCGTCTATTTTTGCAACAACCTTAATAAAGTAGTTATTGAGATTGGATGGACGATGACTGTTTTATTAAGGCAGTTTAACTTTTTTTTTAATGGTTTGATTGAATAATTTAGTACTAAACTAACGATTTGATTAAGTGTTCTTTAAAAGTGTTTTAAATAAATTAATCAAGAAAAGCAGGCATTAATATTAGACGTTTACAATGCCAGGAATCGGTTTATTAAGACGTAATAAGACACAATAATAATTTTAATAGGATTAATTAATTAATTTTAAAATCATTGACTTGATTTAATTTTTTATATCCGTTGAAAATAACATACTTAAGCAATTTTAAACAATGTCGTGTATTAACAGATTATGTGAAGTATGGGTTATCTGAATTTATTGACTTGTGTGACTTGTGTTCACGAAAGTAGGTATTTAATATCAAAATTGTGGTGACCGAAATTTGCAAAAAGAAATACAAATTGCAAAAAATCTAATTTGAAGTTTTAAACTTTACCCCAAGGATACTTCTCAGACGCCTAATCTTGATTATAAGTTAAAACATTAAGTTTCGTATCCTCCTGGTGAATAAAATGTTTGGTAATTGAAAAAGCGTCGTTATTAAGTAATGCTATGTTGTTTCTCACAGGCTCATCTTCTTGAACTGCAAACACTAGAACACAACACAACAACACAACACTAGAAATAAATGCGAATTTTCGACCTTACACTTTTTTAATTTTAGAAAATAGTTAAGGGTGTCCTTCCCTTCTTCACATTAAAGTGAATGATCTGTTTATTAAAATAGTCATCGTTAAAGTTTCAGAGATTATTCAGTCAGACTTCATCATAAGGATCTGTTTAATGCTTTTCTTTAAATTGACTGATTTGAGAGACTCAAAATAGCAATATATTGACCATTGTAAGATCAATTGAAAGGTTATTAAACTTGATACTAAAATAATGTATTACACCCTAACATAAAATTTACACATAGCTAACACAATTATATAGCATATTCACATTTTTGCGTTATATTAATAATTTATACATGAACAGATTACAAATATTTTATCACAGCCCTTTACTAATTTTAAATGACTTGTCCTATCAAGCAACTGTGAGCAACCAAATGAATATAATACACATTAAAGATGAAAGTGGTGTGTTAGACGTTCCAGATATGCTGGAGTCAGCTTTCGTGATGTTTGCAGGCGGCTGCGACAGCGCTGGAGGTTTGATGATGTCAACTGAAAACAATCAAAATAAAGTTGACCAATACAGTTATTCAACTTCATGAAGCTATTTTTATATTTTATTTACCCCCTTTGCTCAATATAGTACAAGTACTTACTTCGTTGCATGCAATTGATCGTTTAGGGAAATTATCTGTAAATAACTTACCCGCACTTAAATATTTACAGAAAAGAGGTAATTTTAATTTATAAAGGCATACTTTGATTAATATTCGGCCAAGTCGTCCAAGTAAACAACTAGCAGCTTATAATTTTTTTTTTACTTTGTTTCTAAGTAACAATGAGAGTCATCATGGCATCGACGTAGTGATTCGTAGATTGGTCATCCGACTAGTAGGGAAGAACCACTGGTGGTAGTAGGTCATTATAGGTTCTATAGGTTCTTAATAGAAAGTATCTCTCTTCCCACTATATCTTTGCAATCTTTTATAATTAAATTTGATTCGTCAGAACTTAATACTTTTTATTTATTTTTATTCGGGAAAACAAACAGTTACACAATCTTCTTAGCCTAAGTTAATAAAATTAAAGTACATATTTATAATTGTGTAGCTTACACACGTATGTTATTACAAATCCACATGTTATTACAAACGCAAGATGACTCTCGAAACTGGATAAACGTTGTTATAATATTGTTATAAGTACGACAAGTACTTACTTGACGTATACGGCTGTAAATTCTCTTTTCACATAGGTACTTACCTATGGCAGTATCATTTCTGACATCAGCAAACTTATCCTCAATACTTCTGAACTCTGGTATTGTGCTGACGCAAGTTATCTCAAGCCTACCGGTTGCCACTACTTGCAGTTCTGACACCGTTACGTATAATTCTCTTTTACTGGGTTTTCGATTTTTATGTCGGCTGCTTGTGTGAATTATATTCAGTTCTTCATGCTCCTTGATTTCAGCAATCTGAAAACATTATGAAGAATATTAAAGTTATGAAATAAAAATACGAGGTCTACTGACCTCGAGCCAATCTTCCAGTATTACTTCAACGCGGACTTTAATATACGAAGTCTACAAACAAAAAAAAATGAGGCTATTGAATAATTTAACTCCTAAGTAAAAAATTAATGTAATCCAAACTTTCCATACTTTCAAGTCATTGTTGCAATGTCTCTTGCAGCTCTGAACTACTTAGTACAGAATATGTTCCATTGCTTTTCTCACGAGACCAAGTCTCGCGCACAAAAATCATAATTTCAAAGTATTTTTATATTGCTTTAGAAGCTCTATTAGAATTAAATTGCTTTTGTATTCTTTTATGTAGCTATTCTCCACAGACACAAGACAGAATTATTCGGCAGGTTTATCGTTTGACATCTGACATTGTTTTCGGAGCCGTCGGCATTGGATAAATGCAAAGTGTTAAACATAAATTGATACATTCACGTCTATATCCCCGAAGGGAAGAAAAGAGGATAAGCAGCGGCATATTAAACGCCTACATTTTGCCAAATATACTTTTAATCCTACTTATTGGTTATTGAAGTGTGTGTGAAAGAGTATGTATATATGTGTGTGTGTGTGTGTGCGTGTGTGTGTGCGCGTGTGTGTGTGTGTGTGTTTATGTGTGTGTATGTTCATGTATGTGTTTGTTTGAGAGTTATGTTATATAGCTCAAAAGAGGTTCTGCTTATTGATAGTTTTGTTTCAGTAGCCAATGTGTGACAGTGATCTTCAGTTGGTAACTATTTAGACTTAGTGTATTTATTTTTTTATGTGTCTTTTTATATATATATTTACTTATCACGTAAAATTGATGTTTTGCAAAAGTGGTTATGTGTGGTATGGATGGTATAATAGTGTACCTAGCGTTTGTGCCGAGTTGGTAAGGGTAGGAGGCTATGAGTTCTGAGGGTAGACTGCAGGACAAATAACTGACGTACGGTTGTGAGGTGATAGTTGTGAGGTTGGGTATCTGTAGGGTTTCTATGTCATGACCTTAAGAACTCCTCTCTGAGACTTCTCTAGTTTTAGCATTTTCGTTTTAAAGGCGGCACTCCAAACAGATTTACAATAACCCAGTATGGACTGGCATAAATGTTTAAATTGTGTAGGTACGTAAGAATAAATAAATAAATATTTTAAACTACGTAACTTCGTGAAGTAAAAGTTTTATAAACAATTAATATTTAGCTTCAAATAAAAAATAAATCAAAAGCGCATAAAGTCGTAAACGTAGGTTTCAAATATTGTTAACAATACTACTATATTTGAAACAGTAGTATTATGTTTATTTGTATCTGAAAATATCTTTAAATTCATATAGCAAACATGAAAGTTCTGAAAATATTTTTGAATTGCGTAAACTACGATCTCAACAATTACATTGAAGTCGGTTTATCGACTTCGCATTTTATTCATTTTCATTTTCATATTAAATTCGGTCACAGTAAATAGTTAACGAACCTAAAAAGCTCCGGTTGGGATTCGATACGTGATTGGTGTGCTGATAACCAAACAAAAACAACAATTTTTAAGGTTAGGATCGCTGACAGCAATACTAATGCAATTTTTGTTAATCACGGGACAGCGCAGGGCTTCGAACGAAAGCTTTCATATTTTTTTGTCATATTTGAAAGTAATAATTCAAATGTATATGTATTTTGGGATTCAATGTTTAATGAAATGTATAGAAAACAAAATTACCACATAAAGTGAAGCGCACAACAGCTCCGAAGAGAATTCGTTTCTGTCCTTTGTTGAACAAACAAGCAGACGGGTCATCTGACCAGTCCATGAATACCTAAGTGTTACAAGTCTAATTCCGACCTTTGTACCCCTCCCAGAACCAGGGGGAGGGGGGTTTTGGCTTCGGTAACCTCACTTACTCGGTGAAAAGCTACGAAATAATTTCGGTCATGCTGGCCGGTGTGTGATGAAGCATGGCTGATAGTGATAAACCAGAATCGATTAAATTGTGACCTGTTTTCGACGTGACATTATATGTGAATAAAAAGAAAAGACGATAGTTTACATTCAGTACGACAAACACGATGCAAAAAATATACTATCATCAGAAAAAATGCTTAAAAATATTCTTTTACCACGAACATGACCATTAAGATAAATCAGTGGCAGTATTCACTATAGAGTGAACAGAGAATTGACAAAGTATAGACAAGGAATGTGCAACCCAAATCTTCTAATTGATGAGCACCCCTAAGTAAAAATTACACAAATTCATTTGTAAATAAATAGCGACGTACGCATATAACGGTTTATTTACATAAAAGTAATTTGCTTACGAATAACAACGTGTACAGAGAAATATGTAAATGATATTTGGTGGCGCATTGGTAGCGTATGCGACTGCTGTGCTTTTGTCTCGGGTTCGATTCCCGGGTCGGACCAAATGTTTGTATGATCTACAAATATTTGTTTCGGAGTTTGGGTGTTTTCTCTGTATAATATGTATTTATTTATACAGATGTCCGAATATTATGTCCGATTTTTATTGTTATTATTATATTCATTTCATTCATTCAATTTTTTTAAGTATCGCTGTATTATCGATTATATCACTCGATTCATATCACATTAACAGCCTTCAATAGTCCACTGCTGGCCATAGGCCTCTCCTTAGAAGGGAGATTTTGGCCTACTATATCACGCTGGCCAGACGGGTTGGTATAGTTTTAAGTTTTGTTGGTTTGTTTTAAGTCTTCCTTCTCTATGCAGTGCTGTTGTCCTGCTTAGTTGGCTGCCGTAGTCGGCTCTTACGACACCCACGGGACGAATAGGGGTGGTGACACTCCGTATTCTTAATCCGTCACCACACGGACTAGACCAGGGTCGATAATTTTTGAAACCAAAAAAAATAATAGTAGGATGAAACCCGTTAAAAAATAACGAGAATATAACAAACATGAAAGGAAAAATAATTTACGGGCGATCTGAGGTCGAGAAGTGGAAAGGGGGGGGGGGGGGGGGTTTAAGGTGTTGCGGGAATGCTGACGCAACGTTTTGAGTTATCGGTACTGTAGTGCGCTGTGAACCACAGTTGTCCCGTGGTCGGCTTGTATACCGTACTACAGCACACCCATATATATTGTATACAGTCGTGATTAATAAATTTAAATAAGTTGTTCATAGACTTATTATTTCTCTCTGTACATATACGCAACCCCAGTAATAAAGGAACAAAGTAACGACCAGTTACAAAAGTGGTGACCCCGACTGAACTGTGATTTGGTAATTTTAAAGAACTTTTGTGATATTGTGTACATATTGAGACTGTTTAGAACGGGCAACTCACTTGTGCTGTAGTGTTGTTTTTTAATATCGGTACTTATACGAGTCGTGATTACGTTAAACATGCCTACCGAAGAAAGAAAAATAGCCACCGAAGAGTATCATTTATCCACTATCTCCGTCACGGCAAGAATACCTGAGTTTTGGAAGAAGTCGCCGAAAACCTGGTTTATTCAGGTAGAAGCAGTACTACAACCACAGAAGATGTCTGATGAAGCAAAATATCAAGTCGTTATATCGAAATTAGGCCAAGAAGTTATAGAGCAGATCACAGAAATTTTATTAAATCCGCCAGAAAAAAATAAGTATGAAAATTTGAAACAAAAATTAATATTGATTTACCAGGAGTCGGAAGAACGACAAGTAAAGAAACTAATAGGCGAAATGGAGTTAGGAGACCAGAAACCATCGCAGTTATTGAGAAAAATGCAGGACCTACCTCGCAATAGAGTCACCAACGAGACACTAGTGGTGATGTGGCAAAATCACCTACCACCATCAGTCAGAGGAGTATTGGCTGTGACAAATGAAGATGATTTAGAAAAATTAGCAACTATCGCGGATAAGGTAATGGAGACCGCGACGCCAATACCCAGTATCGCTGCGGTGGAAGGAAAATCGCTGACCTTGAATAAAGACGATTTGGTAATAGCCCACCTTGATAAAATAAGCGAAAGACTTGAAAAATTAGAAACTAGATCAAGAAGGCACTGGCAGAAAAGTAACAGAAGGCGTTACGGATCAAGATCGCGATCGTCATCAGAGTCAAGGACGCGTGGGAAGACACCTGAAGATCCCAATTGGTTGTGTTACTATCATTATCGATACAAGAATCGGGCAAATAAGTGCGTCCAGCCGTGCAACTGGAAGAAAGATGTCAAGCCGTCGGAAAACTAACGTCGGTGCAGCCGACGACGGGAGGCTGTGGCCGCGTAGATTCTAACAACCGTCTTTGTGTGATGGACAGGAAAACAGGTTTAACTTTCTTAGTGGATAGCGGTGCTAATGTGTCTGTGCTACCCCGCAGCATAGCACATATTAAAGGTAATAAAAATAATGTACGTTATAAATTGTATGCCGCGAATGGAACCGAGATTAATACATATGGTACGCATTTTTTAGAGTTAGATCTTAACCTTAGAAGAGCTTTCCGTTGGTTATTTATATTAGCGGACGTACAACAACCAATATTAGGTGCTGACTTCTTAGCTAAGCATAAGCTGTTAATTGATTTGAACGGACGAAGATTAATCGATCAGTTAACTAATTTAAGCATTAGAGGTACCATTTCGAGTTCAACTGAGTCCACTGTAAAGACAATTGTTGATAATTGCCCTTATTATGATTTATTATGTAAGTTTCCCGAGTTAACTATGCCTGTTTCATATAAGGAGACACCTAAACATGGCGTTTGTCATCACATAGAGACCACAGGACCACCAGTGCACGTGAAAAGTAGGCAGCTACCACCAGACAGGTATGTTAAAGCTAAAAATGAATTTAAAGTTATGCAAGAGCTTGGGATTTGTAGGCCGAGTAATAGCGCTTGGGCAAGTCCTTTACATATCGTGCCAAAGAAGGATGGAAATATTAGACCTTGCGGTGATTATAGACGTTTAAATTCGATTACTAAACCGGATCGTTATCCAGTT